CCCCCCCGGGGCTGCCGCTCCAGCCGGCTGTGGTTACCGACAGAAAAAAACTCATGCCTTCCCAAACAGAAGTGAATTGTGAAGGCATGAGTACGCATTATATATCCTTCAGTGATGGAAGAAAAAGGAATGCTAATTATCATTACTGTGCCCTTATGCATAATTGCATTTCTTGAAAGTGTTAAAACTATTTTTTTTTATAGTTTCACAAAATATAGAACCTTATTTTGAACATTCCCACAAAAGCCCACACCAAAAACCTGAAATGAACAAGCAGAAATAAAAAGCCTAAAAGTAAAAAATAATAATAATGAAATAAAAGTACAAATTAATTTTATTTTAGTTACTTCAACAGAATTCAACATGGAGAAAAAATAAAGTATCTTATCCATAAAAAACTGTTAGGTAAGATTAAAATAAAAAAGGCTTTGTAAGTAACATTTGCACCTTCTGTAAATATCTCTAGTCTGAGATCTGAGATCATTTTAGAATAGAATTCGCAAAGCACTGAACTAACTTTTTAAAATCAGATGTTCACAATCATTCACTACTAGCAATTATTCCTTTAACAGATCGAGTGCACATGATAAGCCAAAGAAAAGAATAAACTAATCTTTTAAGAGGGTCAGTATATATATATATATATATATGTAAATATACAGAATCTTTAAAGATGTGGATAGGTAGATGTCAAATTTCAGTCCTACCATCGTCACTCATTTCCCTAAAACACTGGAGCATACATCCTAAAATACCTAATATGTGTAATTAAAATGTAATTTTAACATACCATTAAAACATTATACCTTATTATCCCTGTCACAGCATAATCAGTATGTAAAATCACACATTCTTTTCTCATGAGCTAACCCTGGTTCTCTTGAGAGCACGACATCATTGTATTTATTCCCTTCTGCACACAATTAAAATTTTACTATAGAGCAGAGCACGAGATATTTAAACAAAAACTATCAATACTGAAAACCTAAACTTCCTATTTTGAAGCTCAAATAAAGATTTTGGAATCTAAAGTTTGAGAATACTGCACTATTTTCTACTTTTTGACTTCATATACATCCATAATTTCATTATGAAATTACTAGTAATGCAAAAAATCATTGCTTATGAAGGTACTTAAATCAGATCAAATTATGACTTAGTAAACATCAATATTTTCCTTTCAATAGGTTAAAAAAACTTGTCATACCCCTTTTAACATGCTGTTTAAGAAATGTTCCTTCAAGATATGATATCATTTGCTATTATATCATTTCAGAACTAATTACTCCAAATAAATATGTGCAAAGTGAAGGAAATAAGCCATCTCTTACTTTTTCTCCAAGCAATAAACTAAGAATTAGTACAAACTGAGGGTGCAGTAACTAATTGTAAATATAAGTGCAGCTCACTCATTCATAAACAGAATACTGACTTCAGAGCTAGATGGTGAGATCAGACTAAATTTCTTCACTGAGTTTGAAACATGCCAATTACAAATACCATTATTATTATTATTATTACATAAAGAGCAATGTATATAAAATTAGATGATTTGTTTACCTGGCTCTATCCCCTACTAAATTAGAATGGGTAAACCAGTTTGCAACTGACACACGTTGGCATTGATTCACCTTATACAGACTAAAAAATGACTGCTGAAATTTAGAATTTAACCTAATAACATTAAATAAATCTCTAGCTTGAGCTTTGAAAAGTCAGTTAGGTCATACACAAATCAACTAGTGCTTCAGAGATCACTGCTGCAACTCTGCCCTTTGCATTCAAAATGTTAAATTGGTCTTCAGCAGTTTGTAAGAAGACAAAATACTTTCCCACTAACTTGGATGACAAGAGAGCTGTTCTGGTTAGAGCTTTCTGGAACGTGTTGGATGAAAAGAAGATTTTTATTAAAAAACATTAACTTGTGGTATCTAGAAAAATGCACATTATAGGCCAAAGTTATGACAGATGATTGCTTGCCCGTAAACTCAGCCTCTCTATATGCCAGGAAGGGTTCCCTCTGAGCTTGGGTGAGCCGGAGAGCATCAGCTTTCAGGTTCCCACTTTGAATTATGCTTAGACCCAAAGACATGTCTACACTGTGGGTTAGATATGTTCCAAATCCAGCTTTGCCTGTCTTCATACTGTTTCTGGGCAAGGATGCCCAAGCTCTGCAGCTCTCTGGCAATGTTGCCTACAAACTTCTCAATTCCCAACAGCCCAGAAGCTTGTGCACATCAGTTGGAAATCTTAGGCCTAAGCAGGGTCACCACTAGATCTTCCAGACTCAGTCCTCCATCAGCAAGAACAGATGCTTTAAGCCTGAGGCAGTGCCAAGCCAAATTGCCCGCAGTTTTCATGGAAGCCTGTCAAGCTGTAGGGCAGCCTCAACTTCCAAACCACCAAGCAAGGACTTTTAGTTTCTGAGATGGATGTGAAGAATCTTCCCTGAGGTCGCAGCCTTGGGAACCAGGCAGGCCCTTCTAATAATGGTGATGCTCACAGGAACGACAAACTGTGGCTCCAGGAGGACACATCCCTTCAAAAACACCACGTGCCTGCGACGTGTTTCAAAAAAACTGACATTTCTCGTGAACTGAAAGTCTCAGCCTGTGGCCAAGTCTAGTCCTTACGTGCTGCTTCCTACAAAGTGCAGGCTCTCTTATGTCCCCTCCCTGTGTACTTTTCTGAAGACTTCTCTATGGCAATCCACAAGCACAAACCCGCTCCTCTGCATGCTGGACATGCTCTTCACTCCCTTGGACAGGGCATGATCTTTCAGATTGGAACTCATGTTCCTCAGAAATAAGGACTTAGAGCTCATGTACAAGGACACGAACACAAGTACTCACTCCTAGGTGCCTCTGTGTATGAAGAAGACAGACTAGGGTATAGACATAGACTATTAACGCTTGAGTTTGGAGATGCAAGATAAACTGGCTTGTTATGGGGGAAATGTAAAGAACCAAGCTCAGCCAGTGAGCTCCTCTGCTTCTGTCAACCACCTGGATCAGTATTTTTTTTATACACAGCTTCAGAGTTCTTCAGTGAATAAACTGCTGTGCTGTACTGTTGAGGCCGTAACATGCCAATTAGCAGAAGATAATCTACTATCCCTGAGATGCAGTTGATTAACTACCATTAAAGTCAGCGACGCTGACAATCACGTATGAAAAAGTAGCTACAAGTCTACTAAGTATCTGGCTATGCACAGCAAATGAAAACACACTGAACTTTATTAAATATGCTAGTAAGATGCAGTAGTACTTTCTCTTTCTGCTCTGGATAAAATGAAATATAATCAGAAATCAGAAACAGATTTGGAAAATAACTAGCATTGTTACACTTTTCTACAAATCTGAAAAATCAGTTCTACACAGGCATCTCACTAATGGTGTTTCTGATATCCAAAACAATCATATCTTTACATACAGCTACTCTAATGAAAGAAAACACTACTTTAAAATTTAAAGAAATCATCTATTTTTTTGTAAGTATAAAAAAATAAATACTCCACTAAGGAATGGAAGAAAAAATAAAGCACATTTAAATAATTTCATTACATTCTAAGATGCCAAATCATCTGTGAGTGGTTTCTTTTTAGATGAAAAGAAATCAAAATATAGGACAGATGTTGCACAAACCACATTTGAGGTCTATCACACACTGGCATTTTTCAAATGATTTTGGCTCATCTATTAAATAAGGTGTATTTTGCTTGATTTTGAAAAGGGAAACATCAGGAAATATTTAAAGGCCAATTGCTGCCAATTAACTTTGATCAGCAAAAGTTGCATTTGAATCTTTTAGATTCTTTTGCCTGTCTGGAATAACACACTATTCTAAAATCTAGCAAAACAACAACTTGATGATTAATGTGTGTTGGCAGCCCCACCACAAGCTTGCTTAACAGTTGGATTTTAAATAAACAGCTGTCTTCATTATGATGGGAAAGAAATCTGACTGTTTTCATGTTTTCATGTTATTAAAATACGATCAGAAATCGCTTTTTTCCCTTTTAAGATGAAACAGCCAGGCATGATGGTGACAGTCTCTTTCAGCAGTTTGGATAGTTTTAGCACAATCTCACAAGTGTCGCCAAACCAGAGCCTAAAAAAGCCCTTGGCATGCCAACACCGGCTCCTCGCCACGCACCACAGGGGAGAGGCAGAGAAACCCCAACACGTACCAAATCGTACCTGCCACCAGGGAAGGCAGAGGACCCCCAGAAATAGGCCACTGAGAAGGACAGCGTATACAACATTAATGATTTCCCTGGGCTTTAAGGTAATACCTTTCCACAGCGGGATGTAAGTGAGAAATCTGTACCCACGCATTAACCGTTTATAGAAGTTGAAGTTTAATATTTAATGGCCTGAGCAGACTACTGAATTCTAATGTTTATAAATGTTTTTGGTGTATTGACTTCTGAAACTTATCTACTGTGGTCATAAATACTAAAGCCTGTGAGGACAAAACCCTACCATTTGAACTATTGTAACCTTTAAATGCCAGTGCAGACTTTTAGTGTAGATGTTATTATATATCCTAGCGACAAAATTATACAGATATTTTCTAAATGTTTCCACATTAAAACTGTGAAATCAAAAAAAAAAGGTCAAACTATCTAATAACACGTAAAAAGAGACAAATATTAAATCACCTCTACGTGCTTTCAAAGAATGAACACTTACTTCTAAATCGTTAAAGAATAGATGCGTGTCCGCCAAATTGAAAATCATCTCTTCCATTCGGAGTCCAAGAGACACAGAGGTGGGTGGATCCTTAAAAATGAAATTGAGTGAGTACCCCATCAATACCACATATAACATACATACCAGAATACAAACTGGAGGAATTGCTTTTCAAGAGAGATTATTTGAGGTATTAAACACAACATCCACTTGTTCAGTTTAACTTCAGCAACTCTCTAATCCTGTACTATAAAATTCACCAGTAACACTCAAAAATATGACTTGAACTCAACTGATACCGTGATTCTGCAGCAGGACCTCTGCGGTCACCCTCATGGATCCCTGGCATGGGCTCTCTGCCCACTGTGCAGAAAGGGCAAATCCATTTAATCTAAAATTTCTCCACATTTTACAACTGCTTACAAGTTTTATGATCAACTAGGGGCACGATAATGCTATTGTTACTCAAAATAAACTCTCACTGGTCACAAGTGAAAGGATTCGGTCCTGGGAATACCTAGTGACTTTAAAGCAAATCACCATTAATGTTTTATTTGCAAATGGCAATTATATTTAAAACCACTCCTTGATTCTCCACAAAACCATGCTTTAATTACGCCTTCAGTTTGGCCCACCCATGCAGAGTGAACAAATCTATTGTTTGTTATTAATACATAACACACTTTAACTTCTCTACAGAAATTACCAGAACAACTTACTCCTTACTGAGCTAATAAACTCAAAAAACATGTTCAGCATTGTGGTTACCAAATGCATTACAGATGTTTGTCTTGTTTTGATTTTTTGTGTGTGTGTTTTATGTATTTTCAATCTGAAAAATCGAAAAGAAAGCTTAATATATACATTTGATATAGAGTTTCTAATGTCAAGTATATCCAAGCGCCCAGAAGCATGAGTTTGAAAGAACATGTTATATTATCTCATGACACCCTCTATTAACAATGTTAGTTTGTTAGGGATTATATTTTAAATAGAACTGTAGAAGCGACAATCCATATTTTACTTAAAATAGGTTAATATGCTAAACCTGATGACAACTCAAAGTTAAAAACCAAGAGATGCAGTTCCTAGTTTCTTTTTCCACCTCTCAATCAAACTAATAGGTGTTTCAACATGATCTCTGAACTTTCAAACATTTTTCTATAACTACTGGTTAAAAGGCAAAATGTGTCAGTAGCAAAGAGCTGGAAAAGAATAGTGATTTCGCAGCTTGTTTGCCTCCTGGAAATGCCAAAACCTTAGTAAAACTAAAGAGAAAAAGAATTTTGGAAAGAAGCATTTAAAAATAAAGCTACACAGAACAGACAAAACATCTATTCTTGAACTCACATACATTAAGATTAAATGAGTTTTCTAGTATCAAAAAAATAGCCCTTATAAATGGGAAAGAAAAATTGCATCATGCTATTTTGATGAACTTTGCCCTTAAAAATAAGCCTTCTATTTAAACTGGCACTGCCAAAAAAAGAATATTTGGCTTCTTAATTCAAATGGAAAGACTTCAAAATATGAACAAAAGTATTCTGTCTCTCAGTTTTAATATTGTTCTATTGGTAGACCTACGTCTTCCTTTATTCTACTTTTGTAGGCATGTGAGGTGGAAAGCAGGTGATATTTTCTCTCTAGCTGGGCCTGAGACTACTTTTCCCTC